AGGCAATTGACCGGAAAAAGAAGTGAAAGAATCCCTTCTTTTTGGTATCATTCAAAAACTACATATCTAAAAACAGCTTACAAAGACAAATGGGTTACATTTATTTATCAATATCATGCAGTTCTTTTCAGACTACCTATTACATAGGGAAAAAGTGTTTCAACACCGAATTAAACGACAAAAAATACTGAGTGCCTGTGGTCGGGCAATGATGTGAACAAGTCAATCTTTTCAACTTACAATATGGTGTTTGTTTACTTTGAAATTTTGTGAAACGTCCCTTATCTTAATCTTAATTTTTGCAACGAATATATAAATGATTATAAATTTGACGTTACATGTAATTGAAGTTATAACAACACATGTTTCAATCGAACACGTGATAACCAGGTGGATATGTAACATTCAATTAGATTTGCTTTTGTACCTGTATTCATAGAATAGGATGATGTGCATTGAAGTCGTATTTTTTTCAGTTCATTGAATAACATTTTTGGTAATTTTTATAAAACGATAACTGTAAGAAATTGGCACACCCATGATCTAAGGAGGTAAAAATGAATATTTGTATTCCCTCGCTCTGTTACTAAGATATTTCAAGTTATTTAATAGATATATTTGATACGCAGTGGCATGTTTTACATACGATCAATTTCTTAGGCGAGCCTCGATATTGACAAGTAAGTTAATGAAACAAGGATATCAAGATAAACTTTTTAAGTCAACAGTTTGCAAATTCTTCTGACGATATAATGACTTTATTTTCAAAATACAATCCATTGTTAAGTGAATGTTGACTAACTGTAGTCTTTTATGGTAATCCTAAGCCTATTTTTTCACAATAAATTGTCTATTGAATTTCCCTTTACTCGATTTTTAAAAGAGCACGTGGTCTGTGAGAATATGACTAAATTTGGTCTCTTTGTTGATCTTTTGGTATATTTTTGTCCATTATCGTGCCTCCTTCAATGATCACTAATTTTTGAACAATTTAATCTCATAATCTGCTAAATTCAAGACGAAAAATATTAGTTGTTGGCAAAGAAAAAAATGGTAAATTTCACCACCCTACCGCTGCATGTGTATCATGAGGGTTTCGCAAAACCATCAAGTTTGTCCAGTCTCGGACATCAAACAGTCTTTGTTCTATGATTTTATTCTTCTTCCAACTGATTTTGGCAGAACAATAAACTGTCAAATTAGTTTTTTCTTGTGCATTAAAAAAAAAAAATAAAACTTATACAACTGTGAACATATTTGACTTATAATTGATTTAGGCATAAAAGAAAAAAAAAATGCATATTTTATGGTGTTTGATACTAAGCATGTCCTCCTAATTGTCCTTATTCTCATCCTTAATACCTTGTTTGGGATTATTAAATATAGCTGTTGTGGACATCTTTAACAATATTAACATCAACAATACTTCTGTGAGATAAGGCCTTGACTAACATCTATACAGTCCTTAGGCGTCAAGTTAAAAACATTCTAGCATGTTGGAGTTCACAAACGTACGGTACATTTATTGTAAATAATCAATATCGCCTTATTTCTATGTGGCACAGTCTTTTGACAATTTAAATATTTCAATTTCATTTAGAATTCATAGCAGACACTAAACGTGTAACTAATATCGAGCGGACATCATTCTAAGTAATGTGCTGTGTTGTGATAAATTGATTGATATATTGACTACAAAAATGACCCAATGATCGGGGGCTTTGCGTATGGTTGGGTTGTGGGCTTTTCACGCCACCCGTTTAGATTATTTCTTTCAATCTGTACAAAGAGCTAAGTTCATGCATAAATTGACCATGTCATTATATCAATTAACTATCACTTTCTTTCCTATTTCATAAATCAAAATAAAGTAGACACGTGGTGCTTTCATTTCATATAATTAAATTTCTTTTTGAGAATCCAGATAGTGTAAAAACAGGCTTTGAGAAATGTAATTTTCTTGAAAATCAGCAAAAAGATGCGTATTTATCTATTTGTACCTTCTGCAAAGAATTATTATATAAGATGAGCACAGCCCACATTCCCCAAAATAAAACGTGTTTTTGATCTTCAAAACAATTTTTTTTCTTTATATATATATATATATATATATATATATATATATATATATATATATATATATATATTATAATTCAAGATGTCCTTGGTATAGGTATGTACATATAGAAAAATAATCCAGAATTTGGAAAAGATGATCACATTTTATTCCATAGCGCTTTCGCCATTTGGCTCTTCAGTGGATTTTGAATAACAATAGCAACATGACATGATAACGTCGTTATTATGACGTCATAGTTAAGGGACAACGTTAAAATTTGGAGCAAAAAATGTCTGTAGAAAGCGCCAGAGTAAATAGACTTGACACTGTAAATGATACATATTTACACAATAATAATCAATAATTAATAAATTTTAAAAAACAATATTAACAGTCATTGATTAAATCAGAACATATCTGTTTAGTTTAGGCTTAAATTTATCAATGAAATATTGTTCTTTGGCCCGCCGTAACTGTTCATTTTCCTCGGTAACTTTATAAAACGGAAAGATACTGAAACGTCCTTTACCGCATTGTTCAAAATGTTCGCTACACGGAGTATTTCTTACGGAAGGGTCCTTTATCTGCTGTTTGTGCACTCTTACACGGTCGGATATTTTATTCCCTGTTTGACCAATGTAATTTTCGCGAGACCACGGCAAGTCATGCAATATATGACGTTCTTGGTTTTGCAGTTCATATTATGTTGAACTCTAAAATTCATTCCCGTTTTGAATGTGAATGATTCTCCACTTTGTATAAAATCGCAAGTTCCACAGCGTGGATCGTCACATTTGGAAACTTTAAATATTTCCTTTGTAGAAGTGAATTTGGCTTTGGTGAGGATTTTTTTCAAATTTGGCGGTTGTCTTCTACTAAATTAAATTCTTCTCCGCAATAAGGTCGTTGAGATTTTTTGATTGTTGTAGTATGGGCAGGCACTGTTTCGTTGTGTTGAAGATGTTGTGTTTTTTTGGATTGTAAGTGACAACGAATGGAATTTCATTGTACATATTATCGGATTCATTCTTTCAGTTCACTTTCCTAAGTTCTGTAATTGGGACTGCTTCGGCTTTTCTTATCGCTTCGGCTATAAGATTTTTTGGATAGTTTTGGCGGCGTAGAAAAACACTTAATTCTTCTAATCTTTTTGTTAATCATTTTGAACAATGCGGTAAAGGACGTTTCAGTATCTTTCCGTTTTATAAAGTTACCGAGGAAAATGAACAGTTACGGCGGGCCAAAGAACAATATTTCATTGATAAATTTAAGCCTAAACTAAACAGATATGTTCTGATTTAATCAATGACTGTTAATATTGTTTTTTAAAATTTATTAGTTATTGATTATTATTGTGTAAAATATGTATCATTTACAGTGGTTATTAACGGCTTATTATCTCTTCATGGATTCCCTAATTATCAGACCACATTCCGAGGAGCACGCAACAAAGATCCATCATATAAGAAACCCTTTCAGTCACTAGTATTGGAAAATTATTCAATATGACATACTATGTTTGAAACAGAATTTAAAAGAAAATAGTTGCTTATCGAAATATGAGAGGCAAGTGTCTTTGGGTAACACATTTTCTTTCATTGAATGTGGATTAAAACTCTGCGCTTGGCAAAGGATGTTTTACGTACATCGAATAGGTAAGGTGTCGTTCTTTTGTGATAATATCTATTTAACACGTCAGTGAAGAATTAAATTCATTCAAGCAACATAATTTTAAAAACTTTTGATGCTCTCACGGAATGTAAAATTTTATTTAATGAATGCTTTAAGGGACAAATTGAATGTGAAATATATATTTACCCTGATAAAATATCTGAAATAACGAAAGTGTATTTAATAAAAAAATTCCTATCTTAATTTTGTTAAAAAGAGGTTCTAAGTGACATATTATACGTCTGAGTTTTTCACTTCATTAAATCAAAATCCAAAACTTCAGCAATGAAAATGTTGCGGGAAAGATGGCCTGGATTTGTAAGTTTATTTTTTTTAAACTTTATATTTGGATAAATCGACTATCTGAACGAGTTTCAACTGCCAATGGAATTTTTTTTAAATATCAGAGAAGATATAATTCAACTTACCATTTAAAATTAAAATTTGGCAGGTTGGGGTATTTTTCTTTGTGATTTGTACTTTGTCAGAAAAATGCATTGATAGCTAATAAACATATGGTTTACCTTTTCAACTGCTCTTGTGGTAACTTACGATAACTCGTTTATTTCTAATATTATTTCTAATAAACAATAAGCATATCCCTAGATCATAGATGGCTTCCAATGGGTAGAAGATTTTAACTTATTTAACTTTTTGAGTACGTTAGCATTTAGGTACATTTTAAATGGACAGAGGAAAAGTCACCACAAGAATAGATTTAAATACTTTAATGTTTTCCCCTATTTACCTATTTTTCTTAAAGATTACTTTTTTTTCAAAAAATGAAATTTTTCATCCGGAATTGTAAAGATCTTTGGAGGAGTTCTGTCTGAGTAAATTGCACATTCTTGTGATTGTAATAACCGTGTCATGTTATAAGCAATCTATATACGTAGTATATGCAACAAAGATTTCTTATTACATTTTTTACCTGTGTGTTTAATAGCATGTTTAGATATTCACCTTCGGTAAATAATACACAGTTTCCAAGAGAGACGGAGACATCTGTAGTTAAAATGCACAGGGAAAAAAACCATTATGTGAATAATTTGAAAACACCAGTATTTGATACACAACAATAAATGATAGAATGAACTTAGAAGATGGATATCTTAAAGACAATTGATAAATACAGGCCATTACGTACCTGTGGGTGCTCGGTCCTGGGATGGGAGCCGTGTAATGGGACAGGTCCCCCTGTTAACAACCACATCCCCCGTGTGTTTTCTGTCACTATGCTTCAGTTGCCCGGGATCTACTTACCGTTATCATGGAGTTCCCAAATTTTGGCCGGTTCCATGGGCAGTACCAGAGTAAGTCCAAACCAAAAATGGTCAAGATTTCGGTCTCAGTAACCATTGTATGTAAATTTGATTTGATGCAAGGTTTAGATTCTACCTTGTTCGAAATGTATCTGTTAAAATATGGGAAATGAGCTCAAAAACTATAAAATATACGCATTTTTGAAAATAAGGAGTAAATTGGCATAGGCAGGGTATTTTTTTTCTTCCTCAGCATTAATATTCATAGTTTACAACAGTAAATGTATGTACGCTTTTGAATTGGAACGCTTAGTCAAAAGGATTTTTCTTTTAGTATTTATTAACTAATATGATCGAGATATTTTGAATATTGTATAAAACAAACACATTTGATATGTAATGATTTTTACGAACTCTCTATACAAATTATGCTTGTATTTATTAAAATGGGATTTAACAAAATCGACAATAAAGACCAAACTTTGATTCAATAGAAAAAGCTCGATAAGAATATACTTGTACCAATATAAGGCTTTTCCTGAGCAAAGCTAGACTGAAAAAGCAAATTGTAACTAACGCAAAGTCATGTTCACTAATATAGCAAATAGTAATGAAGTAAAAATAGTATATACTGGAAAAGCGAATTGTAACTACGCAAAGTTAAACATATAGCAAAATGTGATTAGATAATTTTTAACCATTACAGTGAATTGAAACATGACTGATACAGCGAATTGTAACTACGCAAAGCTAGACGGAAATGTAGACTGATAAAGCGAATTGTCTGTACGCATAGCTAAATTAAAACTAGAGGTACTGTGAGCGATGAGCTCACTAAATGATACCCCCCGCCTCCCATATGGTTATAACTGGTGAAAAAGTCCATGTTTTCCTGTGGCCGGGAAACCCAAAATATGTGTCGGATCAAAAAGTAAAATAGGAGGTGCACAATGGCAATATGTGATAAAGATTCTGTGAAAGTTTCATCAAATTTCATTCAGTGGTATGAGAGGAGTTGAGGATAAGAGATGGGTACCCCAAAGCGTAACAGACGGACGGACGGACAGACGGAAGGACGGACGGACAGACGGAAGGACGGACGGACAGACGTACAGACGGACGGAATTAACGATTACTATATACCCTCCCGCTTTTCAAGCGGGGGGTATAACTAGAGGGACTGTGGCCAATAAGGACCAAATGATACCCCCGCCTCCCATATGGTTATAAAGGCAAAGTCCACGTTTTGCACTGGGAGACCCGAATTAAGTGTCAGATCAAAAAGTGAAATAGGAGGTCACAATGCCATCGTGTAATAGAAAATCTGTGAAGGTATCATTAAATTTTATTCAGTAGTGTATGAGGAGTTGCGGATAAGAGATTAGTGTTATTCAATATTTAAAAAAATGGCCGTATTCATGTTTTCCTCTGGAAAACCCAAAATATAGGTCCCATCAAAAAGTAACATAGGAGGTGCACAATGATACTATATAACAAAGATACTGTGAAAGTCTCATAAAATTGCATTCAGTTGTAAAAGCAGAGTTGCGGATAAGAGAAGGGTAAAGTGTAACAGACGAACCTACGGACGGACAAACGGACGTATAATAACAAACTTTAACTAAGTAAAGCTAGACTGATGTAGCGTGTTGTAACTATGCAAAGCTAGACGCAAATAACGAACTGCAATATTGTAATGAGCAGAAGTCATTTGTATCTTTATTGCTGTCATCAGAATTTATTTTACATCTTAGGAAGGCTGGCATTTTTTTGTTATCAAAGGTCGATAGACGTTTATAAGTATTTTATTTGCATTCTGTGTAATTTATTCTTTTCATGATTATCAAATGCACATTATGGGGATCAGACACTGACGTTGGACATCCCAGCACAATATCGGAAAATCAAATACTCTTAGATTCACTGTTGGATATGGAAGGGAATTACCGCCAAAAGTCTATGTATCTTGCTTTTATTCTTATTTTGCCTACTTCTTTATGCTTTGTTATTGTTGTAATTATATGTCACTTTATTATTTTCATATTCGTCTTTATTACATTTCACTTTGACTTTTATCCCTCTTCATTTTGCTTTTACTTCTATGTTGCTTTATTCTTGTAAATTCATTTTACTTTCTTTTAAATTGATACAGTTTCTTAAATGATTATAACTATTACGAACGTTAACTCAATCACGCAAACAATGAAGCATATTCAATGAAGACGAATACAAGTTGTCCGAATTTAGTGCCGCATTATAACGCTAGGTGGCAGGGGTGTTCGCTAAGAGTGTTGGTAAAATTAGGTAACAAAACCGTGCCGGGGTTATTCGAGTTTTTTAAATTTTTTATTTATCAAACTTAATTTTTTAAAAGAACGATGTTTGTTACAGTTATAAGTCCAGGTATGTACCCGATACATGCCATTCCCTGGGAAGTCTCGCTAGATGGTAAGATTTCCCCTGGAAGACTGACTACATAGTGATGCTTCCTTCGGAAGACTATATGTACAGTGGGACTGCCCCCGGGGAAGTTTCAATATATAGGTAGTCTTCCGTGGGAAATCTCGCTATATATAGCAATTCGCCCCCATTCCTAGCAACCCTTCCCCCGAATAGTTTTTTTAAATCGTAAAACAATGTTTATATATACTAACGTTTTCAGTTTTTGAAGAAAATTTATCCGTTCTATCAGGGACTACATGTATATACTAGTATATAGGTCCCTGGTTCTATATGAATAAATATTAAATAAAATTTTAATTTTAATAGTGTTTTATAATTAAATCATTTTAACCATTTAGTTAAACATAGATAATCTTCACGAGTACATATGGATAATGACTCTCCTCTCTCTCTCTCTCCCCCCCCCCCCTTGGATGCAGTCCGCTGTCGCCCGCGTGGCACTGTGGTTACGGCGTTTGCTCTATATAGAGTCACGAAGTACAGTAGTAAGGAGTTGACCAGTACGTCGTGGGTTCGAATCCCACTATAGGCTGTGGAGTTCGGTCCTTCGGATGAGATCTAGACCGTATTATCCAAAGTCCCGTGTCGCAGTAGGTACTGGCACGAAAAAAGATCCCTCACTGCTTAATGGCTATAAGTGCCGAGTGTATAGGACAAATTTGCAGCTCTCCACCGGCAAGAGGTGGCTTCTACATTTGAGTGAAAAATTCTCGAAAAAGAAATTATACAATGTACAATCACACCACCAAAGTCTCAATATATATACTGACTTCTGGGTGGACGACCTCCTATGGGTTAGTTCCATCGGTAGAGGAGAGGGTGGCCAAGAAACATTTTCCTAATCGTAAGTTTTTACTACTGGAAAAGTTCAGCGAAAGGCTTGTTGCCCCCCATCCCTTATCCCTAACACTTTTTGTTGCAGTACTAATAGTTAATTTATATATTAAAAGTCATGTACTTAGTGGCATATGAGTAAAATTTATTACTGAAAAAAAGTTGACGACCCCCCCCCCCCCCTTCACACCACCAAATAGAATTTTCGAGTTTTAGGATTTTTTTTTTAGCTCTCCTGGTTGATGACAAACACGGTGCGTACTAAAGATATTTCTTTCTTTATTGAAAAGTGCTATTTTAATATAAAATATTAACGCAGAAAAAAAGACCGGGGTGTTTCTAGTATGCCTGGGTGCATGTAGTCTGGTTCCGACTTCGCCTTCCATGCGCGGATCTAAAGGGGGTAGGACCCCCTGGAATTAACAAGGTTACTAAAACAAGGAAAAAAGTTACCCCATCCCACCCCCCACGAAATAGAATTTTGACGTTTGAGCGAGTTTAGGTTTTTTTCTTCTTTTTATGCTTGTCAAGAAATTTCTGGGATTTAATTTTTTTTACTTGGTTGCCCCCCCCCCCCCCGGAAAAAAATTCTGGATCCGCGCCTGCCTACCCATAATGCTCCTCACTCCTTGCAAAGCCCTGTCCCTAGAATCACGCACATCAGCAGTTACTATCTGTCGTGAAATAAAGTTCAGTTTAGTGGAAGGTTCTGAAAAACAACCCAATTTATAATGGTTAGCTAGTATCAAAATATTTAACATTTTTATAACAATTAAACTGTAATTCAAATATCCAACAAATAACTTTATTAGAATTATATTTTTCAGGCGAGAGAACAGTGACGTAGCATCGTTTTTGAAAGTGGGGAGGGGGGCAACAAGAGAACAAATATTCAAGCTACCCGGCTGAAAACAACTTGACAAGCGCAAAATAAACCCCAGGAAATTGTCCAAACTTGAAAATACATAGACGTCGGAGCCGGGGAGGGGGGGGGGGGCTTAGCCCTCATTTTTTCCAAAGATAGACTTAGTATAGACATTGAACATTTTTACAGGTTTAGCCCCCACCCCCACCCCACCCCACTTTCCATGGACACGATGCAGTAAAGGTTTAAAATGGGGAAAGTGGTGGTATTTGGAAAAAAAAACTTTGGCACTGGAGTTCGAACCTTCAACCCATCCCCACCCCACCCCTCCTCACGAAAGGATTTTTTTGTTTGGAAAATGGACATTTATTCTTTTCTTTTTTTTTTTTGCTTGTCAGGTTTTTTTTTTGAAAGTCTAAAAAAAATTCTTACCCCCCCCCCCCCCCCACAACTTTCAATTAACTTCCGACGCCAATGAAATCCTATTTCGGAGGCGGGGTGGGTTTTGAGTTAGATTCAAATCCTTCTATAGAATCAAATTTGAATTTTCTTCCTACTATACGTACTACATTTACTTATTTGACCCTTACTCTTACAAAAAGTGGGTCGTCCTTTAAATGAACATATTCAGTATATAGCATAAAGTTATGTCTGAAAAAAAGCCGCTATTCCTATGTGCCCAGAGAAAATAAATATGGAGTTTCCATCATTGGATCGGGAGATCGGATCCGGCCTTCAGAAGTTCGATTGATAAAGTATTAAGGCGTATTGAAGAATCTCAAATAAACCGACCCGGGTTTGCTTACCTAGTTTTACCAACACTCGTAGCGAACACCACGCCACCTAGCGTTATAATGTGGCACTAAATTTTGACGGTTTGACAACTTCCATTCGTCTTCATTGCATATGCTTCATTGTTAGCGTGATTGAATTAACATTCGTAGTAGAGATAATGCTAATAATTTATTAAAGAAACTGTTTAAGTTTAAAAGAAAGTAGAATGAATTTACAAGAATGAAGCAACATAGAAGTAAAGAAAAAAATGAAGAATGATAAAAGTCAAAGAGAAATGTAATAAAGACGAATATGAAAACAATAAAGTGACATATAATTACAATAATAACAAAGCATAAAGAAGTAGGCATAATAAGAATAAAAGCAAGATACATAGACTTTTGGCGGTAATTCCCTTCCATATTTGGAAACGAACCAGCGCTACTAATACCGCACAATCCCCCAGTTTCATTGTAAAAATTTATAGTAAGAATAACGTCGTAGTTATTTGTATGATCTGATTAATTCTTGGGTTTCTCATCTTTTTTGTACATAGTTTACCGCTATGATTAAAAGGTGAATGCACTTTATATTGCAGGTAGCGGGAATAACAGAAATGTACCAAAAGAAGCAAATGTCCCCAAATCAAAACAGAGATCGTTATAGAAACAACCTCCGAGAATCAGAAGACAATCTAAGACGCAGACGATCGAAAGAGATACGAAGCAGACGAGAGCTCGAACTTGAAGAAGATCTAGTGAAAACCGGAAGTGAAGACGAGAATGATAAAAACAAACGTAGGCCCAATAGGCGACGTAAATATGCCAAAAATAAAGAGGAGAAGACATATTCTAAATTAAATAAAGAGAGACAAGAGTGGAAAAATCAAAAGACAAGAAAGCAGGAGATGCTCCGATTTAACGATAGACAAAGAAAGAGACCGTTAGGTCAAGAAAAGCAGTTCAAACAATATGGGAATATTAGAAGCGTGCCAAATCTTCGAGTGACGTACTTAGGTTCTCAAGCGAGGGTGTCCGACGATTCGAGCGCAGTCCCGTTACGGCTTCCAAAAAAGGGATTCCAAGATGAAAGTCTTCCATATAAAACATCAGTGACACGACACACTCAAAACACACACGATTTAGAAAAGCTAATGGATTCATATCGAGAAAGGCACCCAAAAAATAATTTATCTAACTCTGTCTCCAACTCCGACATTAGTGGAGTCGAGGATCTGAAGGCAAAAGCACGAAGTAAAAGGGCTTCCATTTTAAATCGTGCCGAACGGCTGCTCCATAGTCGGAGAATGAAGGAGGATTATTCCAGTGGAGAAGATGGGGACACGGAGAAAAGTGACAGAAATGACAACGTGGTCCACAAACGGAGAGTGGACTACCCGTCGAGTGATGACGATAAATACGTCATGGTGAAGACAACGGTGTCCCCGTCCGATTCTGACATATTTACTGACCTAGATGTAGCACTTCCGCCTATACCTCAGTTTGACTCGCCTTCCGGCAAATCACTGCCTTCCATGACAAAAGTAAGTAAAGATTTCTCACACATTTTATATTGCTCTCCATTTCAGAGCATTTTCCCATTCCCCATCAATTTTGTGTACACTTTACACCAATTTCTTTAGAGGACCATACTAAGATGAAATCTTAAAGCCACAAATTATGTTTCACAAATAAGACATGGATTATTTATGAAATATATTCATAAGATAAGAAATCTATTTCAGCTGAAGCCAAATTAAAATTAATATTGATAATGAATTAATATTAAGATGTATTTAATAATGACAAAAAAAAAATCATATTATGCTGTGATTCAAGCTTTGAAAACAATATGTAAGTAAGAAAAATCAATTTTGAATATAGTACTACATGTAATTGGACTTTAGCGAGAAGCACTGGCTTTTACAGTGGACAGCTCACTTAGGCTTTAAAATATGTTTTACATAAAGGGATAGGGAGTTATAATGGATAATTAAACCATATAAGTGCTTATACATAACCAGAACGGATGAGAAGATGTGAAGCAGTATAATATACTGTTATAAAAATAATGAATTTGTAACGGATTCTATTTATTTTCAAGAATTTTCTAAAGGAATCAAATAGGGAATAAAAAATAACTAAAAGAAACCTTGAGGAAGATAAAGGTGGGAAGGGGGGTTGAGGATAGGGTGGTTGCCTATCGGATTATTACTATCCCTTCCGAAAAACATTATATAAAAACTTAAAAGTAACCCTTTCTACTTAACTTTTAAACTAAATATTCATATCGCAAAACTTCCATATTTCGTCCAGCTGTAAAAGTTAGCCGTCGACTGTACAAGTCAGTGCTTTTCGCACTTCATTATTTACAGTATTAGAAACATAACAAACTAATGCAAATTTTTGTTGTCAAAACAATGTATTTTACGATATGTTACTTGTACCCCCTTTGGAATTAAACAAAGTGAATTTCAACAAACGGTATTTTAGCTCACTCAATGAACAAGCATCGATACTGGGTAGTTAACGTTGTTATTGAAGAAATAGTTAAGAACATAAACTGTAAAAACATATTTTAATAAGATAATTGTTTACTGATTGTTTTGTACGCTTTTCATCCCATGTAGTGAAGGTGACGATGAACTTTAGTTCTAAGTCTGCACAGGGTGCATTAGAGATATAAATATCTTAAAATGATCAATCAACAGAAAATAGATTTAATGACAGCTGCTTAAAGGTTATTAACACTCTTAACATTAAATACGTATGAAAAAGAACCATTGATTTACCGTTATAAAGATTTATCTTTCTCTAAACAAAATTTTATCAGCTCTTACGTTATTTATTTATTAAAGTTGCTGTTGTTGAAATTTTGATACATGCGATGATATTAATTATTCAATATAGTAAAAAAAAGGAATTCTCTCTCTCTCTCTCTCATCAATCATAACTAACTTTTCGGCAAGAATCGCGATTGAACAATCCTTCATCACATAAGTACAAGTAAACAAAGTGTTAAATACCCCTATGTGCGTCTTGAGGTAAGCAAAGAATGTCCAGTGGATATTTAAAAATATTTGAAACGCAGAGTCCCGGCAAAATACAAACCGGAAATGAAACAACAGTCAATTCACAATGACAAGGATATTGAATAAATCTTCGAAGAATTCCCAATGTTCTCTGAGGAAACTACTGCAATATAAGAGCAAACATAGATATGACAAAATACCTCAAGGTGGTGGAAGGCACAATGATACGCAGGGTTATCAAGTAATATCAGTCAGATGATTCTGTCAGTATGATAGTGAAAACTTTGGAAATATTAGAAATAACCTAATTAGGTAAGGGAATTAATTATCATATATACACATGGGACTGAAATTCCAATTAAGGAAAATGAGCGATAGCATTGATTCGACGATTACAAACAGAGGTTCTGGGGATGGCAACATTAATAAAATTCCAAATATTGTTGTGTCTGGTCCGACCGACCTGGATGAAAATATCATCACTGAAAGTGTATTCAAATCCAAGGATGAGGAGAATGACACAGGAAACAGTAACTCAATGCTAGCGAAACCTGCCCCTATTGACAAAGAAGGACTTAAAAAGGACAAGCTCAGGCGGACCAACATACTGAAGAGGGGATCTGAAGGAAAACTGTTGACACCTACGTGGCAAAAAGGATTCGTTAAAAAACAAACTGTCAATCTAATAAATAAAGACAAATTTCGAAGGAAAATATCAGAATCTATTCCGCTGTCAGAAGAGGTGCCAGGGAACAACATTCTGATGTCAGAAATCAAAAATGACCCATATGATTCAGATAAAAGTTTAAAACTTACGAAAACATGGAAAATGGAATCAAAAGGGAGGGTAAGGCGTACTGGTATAGATAACAAGCAAGCATCTTCTTTTAAAACAGAAATGATTCCAAATGACTTGCAGACAACTTCAAAGAAAGAAAAAGGTAACAAAAATTTCACAACTTTTAAAAACAAAAAGGCAATACCTTCAACGAACACAATGGCAAGAGATCTACGTAAAGGCGATAAAAATGGGGAAGAAATTGAAAGTAGAATGAAGAATAAAGATGTTGAAAGTATTACGGATGATAACGACCGTGATAATAAAAGTATCTCGGAAACAAACAACGTCTTGAAGAATCCAAAAGGTAAAGAGATTAAGAACATTCCACAGAAGGATAATTTGAATGTTACAACATCAGACGAAAATACAAAGAACCATTCTAGTGCCACAACGAATTCTAACGAAGGAAAAATTACCGAAAACATTCATAAACGCGTCAAGATCTCCGTAGAAAATTTCAGTTCTTTCAAAAAACGTAAAAAGTACGGAAATGATTTAAGAAATCGAATTGGAAAGAAATGGAATATCGACACATGCAATCGTCGACTTTTGTACAGCGATGTGTATGGAAGAAGAAAAGAAAGTGTGAACAAAGTTCAGACTCTGGTCAAGGAAGAGAAGGGCAAACGTCAAGTGTCCTTTTCCGATTCTGGTTTGCCAATAAGGTTTTCCACATACACGGATAAGGATAACTCTTTTGCTCGCTTTAATGATATTTCATCATTGAGCTCCCTCTTATCAGCAAAAGATAAAAGTAGAAAAGCAGCAATAGTGAAACCAATGCCTTCGAGAAAACAGCCTGTAAGTTATTCTGTTGATTCTACGAATAGCCGCATTTATGTGCCAAGAAGTCCTACTTTTACAAAGGAAGCACCAGAAGTTCTGAAGAATTATCAGGAAACACCTCGCACGCAACATGTTCGTCAAACCCAACCTGATCATCAAGACATCAGTAGACGTACCCAACAGAAAGTCGAAACTAAATTGAAATACAAACCACATATTCATAGACGCGACAGTACAAACGAAGCTGCACACCTGTACACTGAGGTGCATGTACCCGTCAAAAGAGAATATCAGAAGCACTTTGATTCATTTGTGCTTCTCGACAAAAATTTCGATGATTCCGAAGACCTGAAAGAAAACTTTTCTGAAAACAAAGTAGTTTCCAAAAATCAGAGTCGGTTTAGTTCTCAAATCAGTAGCAATCGCTCATTAAGACCGAAGGAAAATTCAAACTCCCCTGTAATAGAAATTGTGTTTCAGCCAAATATGGGACAAATTGTTGTGACAGAACAAGAACAACACACTCTCAGTACTACAAGAGTGTACATGAAATCTGGAACTGTTTCGGCTTTCCTCCATCGGAGCACATTGGCTGATGTACCTGATGCAGAGGTATCCGAAGTAAATATGCAGAGAAGCAAGGTAATGTTCCGAAAATATATATATCACTTTTTATCATTCACACCTACAATCTAAGCCGTAAGCAAACTAATACTTGTAACAGAAATAACAGGAGTACTTGTAAAAATATAAAATCAAGTTTTAATATGTTTCCTATATTATTTTTTAAAATACACACAACAGAAATCATATCGATACTTGGAAAATTTTGTTCCCGAGTCTTAATAACCTGGAAAAGACTACACAATAAAAGAAGTTATCCCTCTTAGGACTCAATGTGTGTGTTTATCAAAAGTCTGGAGGATTTAAGTAGCAAAACAGTAATTAGTTCATATTAATTGTAAATAATCAGGCTAATATATATTTTTAGAAATGTGTTTAATTTAATTGAATTTTTCACGAAACCATCAATATATTGGAAAACAAATCAAAGGAAAAGCACTGTAATGAAATCTCTCGTTTTCCTTGGAGCATTTCTTATTCCCTCAAAAGCCAATGAAAACATCGACGTTAGGTAAGGAAACTCATCCAATATTTATCAACTTCTTTCTTAATTGTACCGAACCTAATAAAACATGCTACGGGCAAGGAATGGACACAGAAGGAATTACACGGCGGTCTCTTACGTTACAATATAACGGGGTTCATAACAAAACACGAAAATTTAACCAAAGTCTGACCAAAAACCATTCCTAAAGATGAAGACTTTCTGTTCTTTTGATTTCACAAAGAATATCAAAAATGGAGAAGAATTAAATTTAACGAAAAGACGGAAACAGTTGGATTAATTACTGTATGTAGCACAATGAACACGCCAGCGCCACAGTCAGGATCAAATGTTGGAAGTCGTCGAAACAGTCGCCGACTGTCCAGAAAGATGTCCACCGCTAACTGGTCGATCGACAGTCGGAGATATAGCATGGCAGATACTGCATCACTGAAGAGGCTCGAAGAGAGCAGCCGAGAAAGTGGGAACCAAGACAGTGTTCATAAGAGACGTCCCTCTCGATCTCTAACTCATTCAAAATCATCAAAGCACATAGATCTCAGGCGCTTTACTGCAGACAATATTTTTGAGGAACTGAATTCTGACAAGAATACAAATAGTGGAAAATTATATGGGGAAAACAATATAAAGCCTAATGATATTTCTGATATTTCTCTCACGGAACATGTCATTCCTGAATACGGAGAATATTCTAATGGTGAATTCACTCCAAAGGGTTTATCGCTCCTGAGAAAGAATTCTAGTGAGGAGAAACCT